CCAAACATCTAGTCGATAGAATTGAGAAAAGGTTACAATAGAATTAATTATAGCTTTTTTGTTGTAAATTTGTTGTGAAAAGAAAAAGTTTTTAGCTCTCGTTTTTAAGAAAAAGGTATGTGTTGGTGTTGGTTGATTTTTCCGACAGGGTGGTAAGATGATTTATTTTGGAACGAATTTCCGTCAACCCTTGTCAAGTTTGGTTGGCAGACTTCTGCAGATGTTTGCAGATGTCTGCAAACCAAACTTGACAAGGGATGACGGAAATTCGTTCCGAAATAAAAAAAGGTATGTAGTGCCAACTTGACACCATACACCTAGTCGATCGAATTGAGATGTTGAAAGGGTTACACCGGAATTAATTGTAGCTTTTTTGTTGTGGAAGGAAAGCTACAATTTTTTTCATTTCACAAACAATTTTTAAATTTAAAAGGTACAATTAATGGCGACTAGGTGTATGGTGTCAAGTTAGCACTACATACCATTTTTTCTTCAAAACCGAGAGCTACAAATTTTTTCTTTTCACAACAAAATTTACAACAAAAAAGTTACAATTAATGCCGTTGTAACTCTTTCAATATCTCAATTCTGTCGTCAATGGTGCATGGTGTCAAGTTAGCACTACATACTAAATTTTGTTCGAAAAAGGGTCAAGGCTCAATTTTTTCCAGAAAAACGAAAGCTACAATTTTTTTCTTTTCACAACAAATTTTAAAGTTAAAAGCTACAATTAATAGCATAGTAACATATTGGATATCTCCATTATATCGACTAGGTGTATGGTGTCAAGTTAGCACTACATACCATTTTTTCTTAAAAAACGAGAGCTACAAATTTTTTTTTCCACAAAAAATTTACAACAAAAAAGCTACAATTAATGCCGTTATAACATTTTCAATATCTCAATTCTATCGACTAGGTGTATGGTGTCAAGCTAGCACAACATACCATATTTTTTTAAAAAATGAGAGCTACAAATTTTTTCTTTCCACAACAAATTTACGACAAAAAAGCTACAATTAATGCCGTAGTTAACTTTTCCAATTTTGTGTAAAGTGTAGTGCTAACTTGACACACGTTTGATATTTGGGTTTAAAACTTACTATCGCGCGACCTAGACATTAAAAAAAAAAATTTTAATTATTAAATAAAAAAAAATAAATATACACCCCTATGCTGTAATCCGAAAGTTCGTAGTTACGAATTCGTAGCTCCGTTCAGAAAATTCGAAAATTGGTATGCTGTAATCCGATCGTAACTATCAACGGCGTTACGAACTAAAATAGTGAAATTCGAAGTTCTTAATCAGCTGCTTTGACAGAAACAAATCAAAATAAATATAATCGCAAGTGAACAGTGAAATTAAAAAAAATTTTTTAATCGTATTTGAAAAAGCTTTTCCTTAATTAAGTAAAATAGAATGGATTCAGTGGCCGGTGCACTTTTGTCTCAGGAGGAAGAACATGCTGCAGTCAACTGTTGCATTAATATACAAAGGAGATTGCTACGAGACAGTTCTGATCCATTTAGCTTAAATGATAAATATATGCTCCCTCTTTTTAAGGGCGTCCATTCAACTAAATATTGTGTTGCTTTAAATCTTGCAACGCTTTCCCAAAATTCCGCCACATCCTCTTTAACTATTACAAAGCCTCGGGCAATGTCCGGCCTTTCGCTCATGCATTCCACCAGTTTTTCGTATTGCGAGCGATTTGTTGTGATTGTCGACTTGATAATTTTGTAAACATTTAATGATACATTGTTTTTTATTCACACTTCAACTTACATACATATTTTTGCGTTTCCACACTTTATTTTATTGATATTTTAAAAGAATTCGCTTCGCTCCGACACCAGTTGCTCTTCGTAGAAAATTTCCGACAAATACATACAAATTACAGCTACGTCGGATTCAGGCATACCAACATTACGAATTTCGAAGATGGTCTCCGAATTTCGAAATTACGATACGGCAACGCGGATTACAGCATACCAATTTTAAGATTCGTAGCAAAATCGAATCTACGACGGATTACAGCATAGGGGTGATAGCTAATACTGGTCAAGAAAAGGAGTTTCTATTATTACCATCAGTGCAAATTACAAATCCCGACAATCCCGGGATTCCTTGCAAACAATTGTCGAGACCTTAAAAAGTCCGGTATCCGGGATCCCGAGATTAAGATTCCTATTTTGTACAGTATGGCAACACATCTTATGTGTCAGTTGGAAACCATAGGTTCTTTCCCGTACACAACGCGGGGGTCCAAAATAGGCCAGAAATCATTCCCGTACTCAACAAAATGGGTAATATTGGTATTGGATCGTAAGTGTCTTCTTCTGCCCGAAACAGCCCGGACTTTTTCTCCGGTTAAAAATGCATATCAGTTGTTTTGTTTTTAGATGTGGCCTGCATTTACTTGGTGCTTTTAAAGAATAGTGAATGGCCTGTTGATGTATATTCAATCTTTATATACTTAGAATCAAATTTGTGAAACAAAAATTCAATTTCCAAGTTTGCAATTAAGTGACAAAAACAAAAACAACGCGAATCAGCTGCTACGCACGGCTACAGGATGCCATCTCATGTCGTCCGAGCATCACCTCCACCAAGAAAGCCAGATGCTGGCGGTGAAAGAGCACAACACATTGCTATCGAAGTAGTTCCTCGTGGGATGTCACCATGGAAATCACCACAATAACGCCCTACTTCGAAATGAACCGCCATCCCGACATATCAGACGTCACCTGCTCGATTGGAAACCCCGACGTTGAGCCGTGCGTAGACCACCCATTCGACGTAGAGAAATGCAGAGCGGAGCTTAACCACCTACACACCGATGCGGTCAGGTCGAGTCTTCGCACCAGAAACGACAACATCGTTCTAGGCAGTCGACCGCCGCCCATCAACATCGACGAAGCTGAACTGCCAATAAAGACCAGGTGCACCCTAGCACAACTTCGTTCTGGGTGGTGCCTAAGACTAAACAGCTATCTCTCCCGGCTGAACGCAGAAGTGCCAGACACATGCCCTGCATGCGGGCAAGGTCCACACAACACCCAACAAATCTTCGCATGCGCCTCTAACCTCACGACCCTGACACCTTAAGCATTATGGACCGCGCCTATCGACGCCACCCGCTTACTTGGCCTCAGGCTCGTCGAGTCCGAGGACGGAGACGACCCATGACGAAACCCCGGGGCGTTGAGTACTGCTGCTACAACAACAACAGCAACGCGAATCAGCTGTTTCTCAAATTCTGGGCACGAAATGTGGTTTTTTGCGTTCCCGTACTTTTGGATTATGTTCTATTTTTGAGAGCAAACTTTTCGCTTATTCTCTAATTAAAGGATCCGGTCCGGATTGTTAGGGAAAGAACCTCAAGTATTATTGTAAATACTTATGGGTGCAATTCAATGTAATTTACAAGTTAATAAAAGTTGGATTAAAGTGATTTATATACAAGATAAAATAAAATAAAAGTGAGCAAACTATTATGTAGTGTTATGTGCATTTATATATATGAAAGTGTGATAAATGCACTTTTTGATAAGGAAATCAAGTGAAACGACTTAAGAATTTTTAACAACAAATAACATGTACAATATACATGTTTTAGAGGATACCTCCCTTAACATCCTGACAAAGTTTCATTTGTAAATTCCACCTGGTTTTCTTAAAACAATACTAAAGTACATCAAAAATTTGTCAGTTTATACATATTTTTATTTGTTTACACCGAACGACGTAGGACGCTCTGGTAGTTATAGAGATAATAGACTACTCACCTATGCAAACGATCCGTTTGCGCTAATTCGTCTTCCAGTTCAATTATGTCAAACAATTCCTTCTCACCAGTCCTCCCAAATATTCCATTAGGAATTTTTCGCAAAAATTTTTTTAGAACACTGGCAATAGTATAAACTGAATAGTTGTCTACATTTACTAATCGTCCTGATTGCAAGAAGTGAATAAGTTTTTTCATAGCACCTTGATGGCCAGGCGCCCGGAATACGTCTCGCTTATTTGGCGATTCTTTATTAAGCTTAAGTATAAGGACTAGTAATGGTCCGGGAATGTTTTCGTTGTTTTTGCAAACTTCCTCCAATGGTACACCAAATTTGACTTTCTCCAGCCGATATGTATAATCTGGTGCTGAAGTACCGGGATGTCCGCATGATGTGACAACACTGCTAATGTCTGCTGCACGACGCGCCCAACTGGACATCTTCACTGCTTGTTTTTAAATGTTTTAGACGAATGCCGTGTAAAGGTAGAAGTTTCGACACGAAACACGATTTTTTAAACAGAACTATTTAAGAAAATTCTTCTAATTCTAATTTTTCGGTATATTATTCATTCAAAGCCCGTGTGGCAGCTGCTATACGTTCCTACCCGCCATAACAATCTCTTCATATGTTTACACTGTTTCCCCTCAAAAGATGTACGTTCCACCTTCCACACTTATTTAAACTCTATTATAAAAGCAGTTTTCGTAGATTTCCCTTTTTAATAGCTTTCACTTTGATTTAACTGTTCGTTTTTTACTTTTTCTTTGAAAACTTTTTGTATAGGTAAATATACATATATACAAACACACTAACTCCACAGTCGTTATATCCAATACCCCTTACAAATAGTATGTGGCCAACTTCCTCGGAATTGTCTTTGCGAAAACTGACACAGAAAGCCTTAGTTTTAAGAAAACTATAGCGATAAAACTGCATAAACAATTCGGAAATTTATTTTCTACACCAAATTTTCGTTTCTCCTGGGCTTCATGATGCCACCACTCCTGCGTGGAAAATAGTGCTTTTTCCACAGCAACGTTTTCATCTTACTTTTTCTAGCCACACACACATTTTCTTGAAACCTTAGAAAAAATTCGAGGCAACCACTAAACTTTTATGTGGATTTCATGATTAAAATTCCAATTATATACACAATTTTCACTCAATTTAAATTAATTTAATTTAATCCCAATTTTTTAGGTTTTCCGTGTTCCACTTCGTCACTTAACTCTGTTGTTGTTGCTCCTCCTATGTGTACACGAGAATGAAAATGGAAGTTTCAGGGATGTAATTCAGAGTACTTGTTAGTAGAGTTGACTATGAAATTTCAGATGCCATGAATGCATTATGGGCTTGTCAGAATGGGCCCTGTCACACGGTCAGTAATTATCACGATATTTGGATCGCGATCCATATTGATGGATTGATGGATCGCGCACGAATGCTACATGTTCAATATTTATCGCGTCAGTATTTGCATAATTTTTGTGCTGAACGCTTATTATGACGCAAGAAAATATTTCTACTTTGTGCGTATATATTACAGATAATGCATTCCACAATTACTTTAAAATTTCCAATGTTAATTAAAATTTTTTGAATTTCTTTTGAAAGGTTTTAAGCAGGGAGAGCGAAGGCAGAGCGAATACGTTTTCGATGTTCGTATTATGAGAGTACAAGATGTACTGACGAAATGTATGGATCGCGTTTTGAAAGTGCTACACGTTGAATATTTATTGACGGTATTAGTTGCGTTCCAGATAACTTCGTATAAAAGCCTGTAAAACTGCCAAATAACAAAATTACTCTCTTGAAAGAGATGAGCAAGAGAGAAAAAATAAATCAAAGACGATCAAATATCTTTATCAACCGTTTCGCGTTTTGCTTGACAAAAAACAAGCGCACTTGCCTTCTGACCGTCGTGGTGAGTAAGTGCGCGGACAAGAAAAAGAAATTGCTTGTTGAATTAACGCGCTTATTTGAACATTTGCGGGCAAGACACGAGCCAATCTCACACATATACAATGCTTGACGTATTTATTTGATTGTCTCCGCGGCGCTTAAGGGCCATTTACATAATGCTTGAAATACAATACCGGCGAACGGCAAACTTCGCCGAACTGGGCGATGCTGTCGTTCACCGTTCGCCCAGCTATTTCGCCTACTTAAACAGAATTAGAGCGGTAGCGAAAACAGCTGATCCCATTTGGTCGCCTTTATAATTTGGGTGACCATATTTAGAAAAAACTAAACCATATTTAGAAATGAGGAAATGATAACAAATATAAATTGTAAAACAAAGAAAGATTATTATAAATAATTTGTTTCAAGCCAGATTTAACGAATCCACAACTATATTTTTCAAACAACAAAAAAAAATCGTGTTTAGGTTGTTTTCTTTTAAAACTTTGAAAGCAAAAAACAAATACGGCCACCTTTGGCATGCACAGATGTCATCGCCCAGCAGGGCGATAGAAATAAATCTATCGCCATGAAACGCCGCCAAGCGAACTTCGCATTTCGCTTTGGCTGTGTTCTATTTCATATGCTTGCGGGTGTTCTAATTTTGACAGCGCGAATTTCGCTGTGGTGAGTTCGCCGTTCGCCGGCATTGTATTTCAGCAATAAGACTTTCCTCGCTTTGTTTGACAGTTCAAACTTTGACAACAAAGCGTGAAACGCAGAAAATATGCTACAACAAAAGCTTTGACAGCTTTTGCGTTCTCCTTTTCCTCCATATTTTTTATCTGTAAAATAGATAACAATATAATAATATGCATTAATAATAGCAATAATAATTCCTTTTACCCTATTTTTGTCACTAAATGCAAATGTAAGCGCACGAGAACAGATACATGTAGACAGCTGATTGCGAAAGCGGGCAAAAGTTGAGAGTTGCCCAAGATTTTGCTTCGTTTTGCTTTGCTTTGCTTCAAACGTTTTTTATGTGAGCATACTCATGCATATGCCTACATCGATCTTATATGTCAAAGCAAAGAACTATCAAGCAAAGCAAAGAAAGTTGTATGTGAATCAGCCTTTAATGTTCTTTGCTATCTGTTTTTGTTTAGAAATGCAACCCTGCCTATCGTTGGACACTTTTCATGAACTTGCAGGAAGAAAAATTTCGGACTAAAACCTGCAACTTCTGACTGAGAGAGAGAGCAAGTTACACTCACAAAGTTGTTTGACTTGCAGGTTTTTTGGCAGCTGGAACGCTTTCCTGCAAAAACAAAATTCAAATTGTGAATATCGTGAGCATCTGGAACGCAACTATTGCGATCCGCAATCCAGATTTCAAAATTTTTAGAAATTTTGCGATATGGATCACGATCCATCAATACTGCATGCTACACCGTCAATAAATATCGCGATACTCGGATCACGTCAATAAATACTGACCGTGTGACAGAGCCCAATGGGCACTACTCTGTTCGTTCAGTAAAGGCCTGTCCACACATGAACGAAAGACACAAGATCACGTAAGAACAAGAGAGTGAAAAAAGTCGATTTTTTTAGCGGGTTCTACGCCATCTTGTTTCACTGGAAAACGAGCGAAAAGTAAACAAAGCAAAGAAAACAACGAAAACCAAAATTAGCTAAAATTATTGTCAGCCACTTTAAACGCACAATTTAGGTAAATTGATGCAACAAAATGCTTTAAAACGTGTTGTCATGTTGAATTAACTCTTCTTTACTTGAATAAAAGTGTAAATTAGTGGTGCTTGTGATGTAAACAAACGCTCAGCTGACGAACCCGCTTTCGCAAACTTTTTTCTCAAAACCAGTTACAAATACAACGTCGCGTTCTTACGTGATCTTGTATTTTTGGTTCATGCTGTCCACATATAAAGGGCTAACTATAATATGAATAAGCTGCCGTAACTGACTGTCAGAAAATAAACGAAAAGTCTGTCAAATGCATAAGCAGCGTAGTGTAGACTTTTAGGTGGCTATATTTTACTTACATGAGTTCAGTTTTGCCACATTGAATTAGATATAACAATAGCCACTATCAAGCAGTTTGTTGTAGATCACACAATTATAGTAACCTAGAAACGCCGAAGAACTGTTCGCCTTGCGAAACTTTCAGGATAACCTGGTGTTTCTGCTACATCACAATTTTATAATTGGAATAATTTAGATAAATTATCAAATAATAAGCAGTTCACGCTAGTTCTTTTAAAGTAAATTTGTGCATAACATTTAGATATCTACTATTTGTATGTTTCACAGCATGCTTTCGATAAACATCGACTTCACATCACTGCGGTTGTTCCGGCTATTTCACACAATTAACAAGAAAATGATACCTTATTCTTTTGCATAATCATGCAATGAAAATAAAAATTACATAAGCGGATGATCAAACTTGACATTATTTAATAAAAATATAATTTTTCCAAAATATCGTAAAGAAAAATCGTTACAGTTTCACACTCGTTTTGCTATATCGTAAACTAAGTCGAAACTACTTAGTAGAAGTCTGAAATGCGACTATGAATAGAGGTAAATTTTAAGTTGGTACTTAAATTTAAGTTGCAGCTTTGTTAGTTTCGACTTAGTTGCTGGACTATTAATACGCGCCATTATAGTTTCAGAATAGGATTTATGTCAAGAATGATAGAATACAAGATTGCGCCGTCCTGGGCGTTGACATTTGTGTACCACAAGTAAACAAAGAATAGAGCGAAAAGAAGAACGAGTTGAAACTGCCAAAGCGGTTCACTTTACTGCGAAAAACGTGTTTTAATTTTGCTAAATGCGAAAGTATTGCATTTGTCTTCTAATCTATTAGAGAACAGTGAACATTTTAGTGTACTCCATTGCTTTGCAATTAAGGGCCGGTTACTCAATGTCTGGTTAACACTAGTCTCCGGTAAAACATCGTTATCGACGTTACCGACTCCATGTTATATGCATGGAGCCAAACACGTCGATAATGATATTTAAACGGAGATTAGTGTTAACGACATATTGAGTAAACGGCCCTAAGACTGCTTCAGTAATCGTTTTAGTGCACTCCATTGCTTTGCAATTAAGGCTGCTGCAGAAAACTGCAGCAGCATCTCTGCGGACTGATTAGTTAAGTTGCTAATGGAGGCTGCGTGGAGCAGAAACAAAATCATTCTGAGGAAATGCTGTTAATATAATAATAGAGAAACATTTCGGGAACGGCTTTGCCGTGCCCTATGTACACAAAATGCAGTGATTCGACCCAGCGCTACACTTGCATCTACGCTTCTTGCATCTTGACGGTTGTCGCAATTTAACACACAGCACTTCATTGTATTAGTTTTTACGCAGTCTTCAACTCAAAAATCACTCACAAATTGCAATTAACACGATTTAAACTAATTTTTCACTTATAATTCAACTTTCTCTTTCGCTGATTTGTAAACGAAGGTTTATATACAAGTTACCACAACTGTCAAAATCGGCAAAACCAAAGTAGCGGTACCACTGACGGCGCCACCTTTGTTCGCTGCACCGTGGATTTATGTGTATTCGCACGTTTGCATACGCTTGCTTATTCATATTATAGTTAAGGCCGGTCCACATAGAACTTTCGTGTTGGCTTTGGCGTTGGCGTTGGTTTGACAGAACGCACGTTAAAAGTATGCTTGCTACAATGAGCGCTTGGCAGCGAATGCTTGGGCCACTACATTAACATACTAGCGACAGATAAATTAATATTTCATATCAATAATTGCATTAAAAACGATATTTCTTGCCCGCACTTGATTAAAAAGGAAAATATTTCACATAATTTTATTTATTTGCAACAGCTGACGAGCGACGCACGCGAAAAGATGAGAGTTGGCCATCTTTTTGCTTTGTGTTGGCGTGAGCGTTGTCGAATTTTGGCTATGTGGACGGCTGCATTTGAATTCATGTATTCATAGTCAGCTGTTGAAGCGACGCCAACGCCAACGCAACGCCAAAGTTCTATGTGGACGGGCCTTTAGCCCTTAACTTTGGCGTTGCGTTCATGGTTGCCACAATTGGTAACTTTCTACCAAAGGGGTTACTTTTAGGGCCGGTTGTTCAATGTCTGGTTATCACTACTTGCCGGTTAAACATCATTATCGACGTTTTCGACATCATGCATATAACATGTGATCGATAAAGCAGTCGTTGTACTTAACCAGAGCTTCTACCTCCAATTAGTGTTCATCAGACATTGAACAACCGGCCCTTAAACGGTTTGGTAACTTGGTAACTTTTATTTCATTTTGGTAACTTTTGCAACTAATGGCCCTATGATGTATGGCGACTGGGGTCTAGTTTCTGGTCTAGTAGCCATGGCTACCAGTATCGTAATT